TGCCCAGCGCTGCAGCCCAGGCTGCTCCACCAGATGGGAATGGAGGTGTTCCCCAAAACCTGGCCAAAGGTTTGGAGATCAACCTCTCTGTCGGTGCTAGTTGAAATAGGCTTGACTGACCTGACAGATTTTTAGGGGAAAGACACCTGGGGAACATTGTCAAAAAATCCCATTTGCCATGAGAAACTAGACTAAATGTATCTTAACCTGCTGAGATTTCTGCTGGTTGCTTTTAACCCCTGCAATTGCAAACAACCTTAAACAGAAAACCAGTGCACAGGGCAATGCTCTTTTTGAAACGTGGGGCCTTCGTCAGCTCTGCCACTGAAGAGGGAGAAATAATTAGGATTTTCCTGTTGCTGCCTCAAACACATGGCTTTAGCTACTGATGTTACAGAAGTGGGCTAGCAGTAGCAAGCTCCATACAGAAGAGAGATGAAGATTCACTGGGGTTTGATTAGATACAGCTACAGAGAAGAGGATTTAGAGAATGATGCATTAACAACAAGAACCAAACTTGAGTCTTTCAGCCCCAAGAGCAAATCTTCCTTCCTCTCAATTCATGTAATCCCATGGAATTCATGAGCTGCCCACTTACAACTGGGAGAGGAAACCAACTGGTTTTTTGGAGGGGGAGGGAGGAAGGTTGTCTTTAATTCTTGCTGGCTCAGTTCTCCTGAACAAGCCACAGAATGATGCTGTTCTATCAAATAAATGGTGCCACCTAACCATGGATTTGTCCTAATGTGTTTCAGCTGATCACAAATATGTGGAGTTTGACTTCCTTATCAATGGCCAGTTCTTGCGTCTGCCGCTGGTCACGCACATGGAAATGGAAAACATCTCCACAGTAAGACTCAGTTTCTCCCCATCTTTAATTCCCTTTATGTGGCAAAGGACTTGGATACCAAGATCTCTGCCCAATAAACTTGTAATTTGCACCACACTTAAATGTTAACTGATTAAAACCACACTAAAAAAAGTATTTTTTTCCCCCCGTGAGCTCAGGAAGAAGTGGTGGAAATAGAATATGTGGAGAAATATATGGCCCCTCAGCCAGAGGAATGCATCTTCCACGATGACTGGATCAGTTCTGTTCAAGCCACTGAAGAATGGTACCACACTAAGCCAGTTCTGCATTTTGTCTTGCTTAGGCCTGTTGTGTGCAGAGGACTCCATGGTGTCAAGTGGAGCGGAGTTCTGTCTCTTTAATAACCTGATGAGTTTCTCCCACCCCCCTTCTTTGCTCTGTTTTGGTTTTTGTTTAACCTGTCCAATCAGTCAGCTGCTTGCTTTTGTAAGCAGTTCTGTTTTAACACCTGTATTTTATGCTGACAGCAACTTCAGCACAAGCAGAAAACAGTGACTGGAGTCACTGAGCATGAGATGCAGTTAATACAAATGAATAATAGAAATTGTCCTTTTCTACTCTATTTTCCCATTCATTTTCCAATATATTAAATAATGGTTCAAAAATGCTTTGAGATCCTCTAGTAACATACCATGAGCAACAGATTATTTTTTATTCTAAAGGCCATAAGTGATCTTAAGTCTCACCTACCATCGTATTATTCCATGTTTCTGGCTGAGGCTTTTTTTTCAAAAAGTCATTATTGGTTTTAAAGACAGTTAATGTTTCCAATTCTGTACCCTGTAGGATATTAACTGGCTGCTATGATCACACTGCTCGAGTTTGGTCTTTGGAAGGGAAATCCATCATGACAATAGCTGGGCACACAGAAGTAGTGAAGGATGTGGCGTGGGTGAAGCAAGGTCAGTATCTATATATACTAGGGGAGCAGTAATAGTTTGATTCATTGAGGGAGAAATGTCAGATAATAATTCATGTTTGAGGAATGCTAAGTGCTACAATTATTTCTTAAGAGGTGTTAGAAATGAAGTCATACTGCAAGTAAAACACAGTAATGAGTACACTGTGATCTAACAATAATTTAACTGTAATTAACTGATTTAAGAATCATTTACCAGTAATGAGTCAAGTTAGTCCAACATGTATGTTGTGTATCCACCTTGCAGTCTTTGTTAGAAACTTGTACATATCTCAGTTTACACCATGTTACCCTGCAAGTACAATTGAAATAAATATACATACCACTATTTGCTGTCTGCTATTTCTTCTTTGGGGAGGATAACTATATATTAAGAGTTTGGAAAGTTGAGCTGGGTGCAAGCATGACTTCTTTCCTTCCTCAGACAGTTTGTCGTGCCTGTTACTCAGTGCTTCTATGGACCAAACTGTCCTGCTGTGGGAGTGGAACGTGGAGAAGAACAAAGTGAAGGCCCTTCACTGCTGCAGGGGACACGCAGGGAGCGTGGACTCCATTGCTGTGGATTGCACAAGAACTAAAGTGAGTGACTGGTGGGAAGGAACCTTTGTCTTTTGGGATGTTAGCAGCTTGGATCTCAAAAGTCATTTTGTCCCTGTGTAGGTACTGGTCATCCTTCCAGCTTGTTAGAGAAGTTCAATCAGACAGGTTAAAATAAAACCTTTTGGTGCTGAAGGGTAGAAAGAGCTCTTTTGTAGCTATTTTTCCTGCAAAGAAAGAAAGAAAGGCAAAAAAAATATTTAATCTATGACAAACTTCTTTTTTTGAGGAGCCTAGCACTGTTCTTCATGTGTTATAAACCATTGGTTTATTTTTTAGGCAGGAGGTGTATTTAGTGTGCTTATGAGGTCTGTCTGGATTACCTTTTAACAAAATGTTTCTGGTCATACAGTTCTGCAGTGGATCCTGGGATAAGATGTTAAAGATCTGGTCTGCAGGTAAGAGACCTGTCAGCTGGGATTCTTGGCTCTCTTAAAAAAAAAAATATTGTACTTCATGTGTTAATTTTTCAGGCAGGAAGTGTATTTAGTGTGGCTTATGAGGTCTGTCTGGATTACCTTTTAACAAAATGTTTCTGGTCATACAGTTCTGCAGTGGATCCTGGGATAAGATGTTAAAGATCTGGTCTGCAGGTAAGAGACCTGTCAGCTGGGATTCTTGGCTCTCTTAAAAAAAAAAATATTGTACTTACAGCAACCTGAAAGATGGATATCTGAGTACTTTTTCTTTAAGTGTGTCTGTAATATTAAAAGCAAGCTAGAACTTTTTCTTTTGTAAGCTTTATAAGGCTAATACTTCACTAAGTTACTGTTTTGGTTAGTAACACAATTTCAGGTATGGTTATGAACTGCATGCTGATGATTATTCAGAATACATACTTTATCTCTTTTATTTTAATAGATTTAAATAACATGCAGGCTTGAGTATAGACTTCTTGCAAATTAGAAGTTTGTGGATCCTGTTGTATTATTGACACTGTAATATGGAGGACAGGAAGATGACCAGCTCTTTTCTAGAAATGTAGGCTAATCACATTTAATTTAAATGTTTTTTTTTCACTGTGCCAAGTCATATTCTTTCAGTCTGGGAGTGTATATATAGGTATATACTTTGTATTTGTTTTCCTCTTGCTCCAAGGGCAGATAATACTCATTGATCAGAGGTGTAAAGTTAAACTATTCCTTCATCATAGACAGGTTAGGTACTGTAAATATGAAGTTTTGCTTAATAACTTATATGAAAATGCAGTTCAAAAACCTCTAGGTCAAGTCTGACTCTCTTCTGTCACAGTACCTACAGATGAAGAGGATGAGATGGAAGAAGCAGCTAACAGACCACGGAAAAAGCAGAAAACTGAACAACTGGGACTAACAAGAGTAAGATGAGCTCCAGCTTTGTCCAGGACTTGACTTTAGAAGTGTGGCTACACAAAATAACTTCTCTTTGTCAAAAGTGACTATATGGCAATGTCTGGTGATACGTCTCAGGCTGATCAGACATGCATTTTTATTAGTGAAATGATTTTTTAAAATGCTAATCTGATCTCCTCTCACCTTGAAATCCCAGACGCCTGTGGCAACCCTCTCTGGCCACACAGAAGCTGTCTCCTCTGTGCTGTGGTCAGAGGCTGAAGAAATCTGCAGTGCTTCATGGGACCACACCATTAAACTCTGGGATGCTGAGACCGGAGACCTCAAATCAACTTTGGTGAGATGATTGTACTTTGTGTCTGTAGATTCAGCTCACGTCCAGAGACAGAAAGAAGCTGTGCAAAATAGTGGCTCCTCTCTGAGGGTTCCTGTTTCCTTCTCTGACAGACAGGGAACAAAGTGTTCAACTCTGTCTCCTACTCGCCGCTGTGCCGGCGCCTGGCCTCGGGCAGCACTGACAGACACATCAGGCTGTGGGATCCTCGCAGCAAAGGTCAGCTGGAACCTGCATGCTTTCAAAGCTGCTTCCTTCAAATCCACATTCTGTTGAGAGACATCTCACAAACTCTTTTCTGGTCCCTCTGCTTTAATAAAAGACCCCTTGTCCTTTTTTCTGTAATCTGGAGCAGGACTTTCCATTTCTTACCTAATAATTTAGAAAACTAACTCAGGGTTTTCCTTTTTTTCCTACAATTTAGATAACAAGGTTCAACTATGCAGTTGAACATTCTTTTTTTTTTTTTTGTAAAGTTCACCCCTAAGTTGGTTGGACTATCATTAAAGCAGTGCCATGTCTGACAGGATTGCAGATAACTTCAGACTGAGCCTACCAGATTTATTGCTTAGACATGTTTACTTGTCTAGCTTCTATAAATCTAATCTGGGGTTTAACAGTATTATCTTCTTATATGTAAGTAACAAAAGCATTTCTTGTGTCTGCTTTTGTCAAAAATCTTTGAAAGGACAGTTTAGGGATAAGAAAATACATTCTTGAGTTTTGTTTGAAGTTAGAGTTACTGGTGGGAGAAGCACTTACCTGGAACACACATGTGGCTGCTTTCCTCACTGGATTTTGTATGCATCCTAAAAAGTGCCAGTTTCAGTTGGTGTCTACTGATGGTTTGAGGTTTGTTTTTTTCCACTTTTTCTGTTCAGATGGCTCCTTGGTTCTCCTGTCTCTGACATCTCACACAGGCTGGGTGACATCTGTGAAGTGGTCACCTACCCACGAGCATCAGCTCATCTCTGGTTCTCTGGACAACATTGTGAAGCTCTGGGACACGAGGAGGTAACAGAAATGTTCTCTGCTGTTGAAAGGCACACCTAAGGAAACAGCACAAGCAGTCTGAGACAGTAATTGGAAACTCCTGTGGCATTTGTGAAAATCCTTTAGGTTATCTGAGTCAGGCATATCACAAAAGGGATAAAATTACTTGTAGTCTCCCAGAGGCCCTGTAGCATAACATCTGAGAGCTCTATATGTGACCTACCTGGCATTAACAGCAGCATTGATTGACATGCAGAAGGCAGCAACTATGACATTGCCTGTTGGGGTTAGGCACAGCAGGAGGTCTGCTAACCACTCCTCTCTTTTAAGGAACAAAATACATTCTTTCTAAGGAATGAGCCTAACTGTGAAGCTTCACTTGATACTCTTCTCAGACCTGTCATTCCAAATTTCCAAGCAGGGAAATGTTTTGCACTCAGAAGACATAAATGGCATTTCTGGAAAGCACATGCAGTCAAGCAGAGTCCACACATGGAAGAAGGAAACCCTCTAATAAACTCCTCTTACCAACCAGGTTGATTAAACTTCAGTCTCAAGGCAGTTTGCAAGCAGGTGAAAAACATTGCTGCTTGTCTTTGGGGATGTAGGAGAGGTTAACACTGATGTGATCATCTCTGGAGAAAGCAGAGAAAGTCCCAGCTGGTAGATACCTGTGCTCTCTGGAAGTACTTTAACTCCTAGACCATATCTGTTTGATAGCATTGTGATAGTCTTTCATCTAGGGACCAATTTTGTTTTCTGGGATTGCTCATGTCCTATCAATACCTGTGTTTTACCAGTTGCAAAGCTCCTCTGTATGACTTGGCTGCTCATGAAGACAAGGTTTTGTGTGTGGACTGGACAGAAGCAGGGGTAAGAATCTGAAGAGCAATACTCAATTTATCTGCATGGTGGTTAGGAAGAGGGCTAAAAGCAGTCATGGAATATTTTTTTTCCCTTTATGCTTAAAGACAGAAAAGAACAGGAATTTTTAGCTGTGCTGTGGTCCATACTGGGTTGCTAACTGGGTGTGACTGTCACACACACTGCAGCACTTCCCCACGCTGCTGTGCTAAGGAGCAGGATGGGAGTGTAAGCTCTGTGGCATTAAGTGGGTGTTACACTGATATTCTGAACAAGGGCAGATGCCAGAACAGCACCACACCTTGCTGAGAAAATACACATTCCAAGGTGCCATTTGCTGCCATGGAGAGTAAAGCAGCAGCATGAACTGACAGCTGGGGCATGGTAGTACATGTAGCAGTGGGGAACTATATAATCCTCTGAAACAAGCTGTGCTGCTACTCTCGTGGTACACACAGGTAAAAATGGAAAAAAAAAACCCACACACCAAAAAAAACCCCTAACACACCCCACCAAAATGTTCAAGGTTCTCAGTAAAAGGCAGGGAAAGCTTTAGAAATCTTCCTGCAAAAACCTTGGTTCTAATTTTAGGAGGAGGGTAAGAGAGGAGGTTGGTTCTGCACTTCAATTCTGGGTTTTAGGCATGCATTAACACTTCAGTTCATGACATCTTCAAAGAAAAGAAAATCAGTCCTCAATTTTTGTGTAGGTGTTTTGCTTAGTTCTGATATTAATCACAGTTCCCTTTTCCTCTCATCAGCTGCTACTGAGTGGAGGAGCAGACAACAAACTGTATTGCTACAGATACCCAGCTACAGCCTCTGATGTTGGAGCATGAAGGGCAACAGCCAGAAGACTTTTTTTTTTTTTTAAAGATTTTTTTCACTCTCTGTTAGCATCCCTAGACAGCCAACATCTAAAAAAAGGAAGGGTTTGGCTGCTCAGAGAGCTGTTCCCATTTTTTGTATTGATAACCCATATCCACATTTGTCACAGAAAAATGGCCATTAGTATTTATCAATGTGGTTGGTGTGAAACAAAGCAAAGGGCATTGCCTTCCTTTTTGATGGCTTTGAATTAACATCTTCTACTGGGATGGCCCTTTTAATAAGGAATAAACTGTTCCTGTACTTACAGAAAAAAAAATTACTCACTGGACTAAATTATTTTGTTTACTTGCTTTCCCTTAAAAAAAAATAAAGCTTTTATCTACAGTTCATTGGAGTATTGCTTCACTTCAGATAAAATCAGGCTTCAGGTCTCCTTTCAGCATGGCTGTCAGCAGTTCTTACAATGAGGTCCCTAACCCAGGAACCCAGGCTTCCTTCTAGGAGGAAAACTTTCACTGTTTGCACTGATAACACTTAAGGGACTTGACAAGATATACTGGCAGATTAAATATTCCAGGTTTGCTCCTAGAAAGAATGAACACAAGAAATTGCATTTTTGGGTTGATAGAGGGTAAGTACTATCCAAACACACTTGCTGTCTCTGCTGGTGGTCTTGCTTTTAATTCAGCATTCCAGATGAAAAGCTCTCCCTGCAGTTTGTTAGATGCCATATGTGATGGATGTTAAACCAGCACTGAGTTCAACAGCATGGAAACCAAAGTTGAGTATCCTCACTAATGTTTTACTTTCATTAAATATAAGACCTGTACAGCACAATCAAATCAAATGCTTAAGTTGCAAGGTTAATAATTTTTCTTTGAAGAGTGAAAACTGACCTCCAGGTGCACTATATGGACAAGTTCTAAGTAAGTAGTTTAGGAAACACTAGAATAGTGAAACTATGGCAAAAACAAGGGTAGAGGGGAAAGATCTCTGATCCCTTGGCTCTGCAAGTCATGTACTCCAACCAACAGACCAACCTTTATTTACAAATGGTGCTTACTAGGAATTAGTTGTCTTGCCATCATCTGTTGTCCATGTGCATGTTCTTAGTGTGTGTTTTTTCATCCTTTCTAAAGCAATATGCATCACTCCTACCTTATATCTTAACTTTACTCCTTTAAACCACTGCCTTCTATTTACTCCACAAACTAGAATTTGCACTATGATGTTAATAATTATTTTGTTTTGTAAACCTACCAAAAACTCAAAGCATTTTCTGAGCAGGAATTTAGTATGTGCTGGAACATGCAGCATTCCTTCCTCCCCACTGTTACAGGTCTGTGTAATTTTACATGCACACGAGTGGATATGCCAGCCTACTGTAGCAATCATTGGCCTAATATTCATAAAAGTTTTAAAAAAACCCTCATGATGTTTTAGTATGAAGCAGAAGAGTACTATTCTGTTCAGGTAATCCTTAATCTAGTGTATTTAATTTTTGGAGGAGTTAACCAAGGAAAGTTTAGAGATGTTTTTAGTGGGAAGCAAGACAGTTAAGGTTAAGTTTGGAAACTAGTTTGCTTCATTTCGCTTCAAAACTCCCAATGATCATTTAATTGTACAGTCCAGAGTTATTTTGTGTACAAGAAACCTCCATTTTATTACTCTCATTTCAGGTTTTGTTTCAGATAATTATGCTTGAGCACAGCTTTTGAATTGCTTTTGTACTTCACAGTCAGGTAGCTGTGGAGCACCTCCAGCCAATTAAGTAATTAATAAAAGAAAGTGGATTCCTTTATATGCATATGTCTGAAGACTTGTAAATGAAAGACAGATGATAACCTTAATATGGTTTTCTTGCCTTCCTAGAAAGATTAAAAAAATACTTTTTAAGATGGTCATATCACTTGGACAGTCAGCTTAGCCCAGAAAGATTAAGAATATTTAGATTTAAGAAATCCCAGCTAGCATTAATTGTTTCACCATTAGATCTATTTCTCTTGTCACCCATAGTAAATATGCAGAGTGTAACTAGAAAGGTAGGTTTTGGTAGACCACAGTTCAGAAGCAGGAGAGTTTTTACACCTTCCTCTTGTTTTGGGTTCTTTTATTTGGAATAATGTGTCAGACACAGAACCAAGTAAACCATATGAGCAGTAAGAAAGGATACCAGCACACATACAACAAATGTTTGGAATGCATCTGTATCACCACTGTCTATAAATTATCCTAGAACCTACAAAAATACTTCCTAGATTTGGGTGACTGACAGTTCTTTGGATAATCTGGAATATTAATTAAAACATTTTAATAAGAATACTTGTTTTCCTTCAAGCATGCAGTTCTTTCATTTAATGTAATGATGCGAAATTAAAAGGGTCAGCAGGAGCTGCTCTTAAAACAGCAAAACTCAGTTGAAAACAAAGTTCATTTTCCAGAATCAAGATGCTGACAGTGATTCCACTCACAAAAATACTTCCTCCCTCTCCCCCAAAAAAACCCACCTGCATATTTGTAGTGCCCTGGTAGCATAATAAAGAACTTTAATGTACTAACTTGTAGCTTTCCATAAACATCCAAGTGATACAAGTGAGGGGAATCAACAGTCAACTGCTGCAAGCTTTACTCACTTTTTTATCAGTGAGGATGGGAGGGGGGGGGTTTGTTTTTGAGAGGCTGTGCAATAAATGGTTCTCTTCTCATCTTTTCATCCTGCCTGACACCAGGCATAAACTTTACTAGTGCACATACAGCACTTCTAAATACAGTTCAAACACCATCGTGCATGAAGAGACATGTTAAAAGTGTTAAAGGCAAAGGTTCACCTGCTTGGTCCTTGATTTAACATCACACTTGATTATCATGTGTTCATGTATTTGCTTTTTCCCAGCTGGTTCTTGAAGGTTCCTCTTGCTTTGAGACTTTCATCTTTGCTTCTGGATGATTGCCATCACTTTCCTACAGCCAGGCCTGGCATTTTGTTTAGGTTTTTTAACTCTTTCTCAGCCTTCTATCAACTAGCAAGGGGAAGGAAGTTCCAGTGAAAGTGTCACAACCTAACTGAGCATGTGTGGATAACCCATCACCAAGGTACCACCCACAACATCCAAGCACCTCTTCCACAAGGCACGCAGGCCCCTAGCAGGGAAGGGGATGTCAGCTCACCCACAGGCTGGTCACAGCTCTGAGACCCCCAAATTCACCTCATGTACCTGCTCCCCAGTCACACAGTGTGCTGGTGGACCCTCTCCTCTCGGTGTGAGCTGCTGAGGAGGGCACCACGTGCTCTGGGGGCAGAGCTGGGAGGAGAGGATGGCTGATCTGAGATGGTGGCTCTCCTACAAGGATGCAAATCTCCAGCCAGTGCTGCTCTGCCTATTCCTTTCAACACACAAACCCACAGACTTTTCTTACACTCTTATTTCCAAGATCATGTGATTCTAAACATGCTTCTTTAAAAAAAAAAAGTGGTGGATCAGATTTGTTCCATGACCTCACTGAAAATGCAGTATGTGCTCTTTTCCCCTGCTGTGGGAAAGGCAAAAGGTTTTGTCAGATGAAACACTTCATGTGAACTAGCTCAACACCTACAAGTTATAGTGGCTTATATCACAGCTCACACACCAAGAAAGCCACTCCAGCTAGACTCATCAGAGACCTCAGATTAGGGGCAAAACAAGGGTTAAAATTAATTGTCATGAAAACTAATTTGCAGTGCCCTGTAAACTGCTTGAAATGAGTTGTTTTTTCAGCTCCAGTGAGAAGCTGGCTAGGGCTGGTCTAGCAAAGCCAGCTGCTCAGCCTGGATGAGTCTACCAAGCCACATCAAATCAAGACATTTTCAGCATTCCATACAGTGCAACTCAAACCATAAAAATGTCAGCTTCTGTATCAGTTACAATATTCATATTCAATATTCATATTAAAAACTTAAAAGCATCAGCTCTGCCTATCTTTCCACTAGACAACTAGTAGCCTGAGACTAACAGGGGATCTTCATATGACTTCAAATGTCTGTAAAACCAAACACACATCAAAATAAATGCTCTGTGATCGCTACTGAGACTTTCAGCTTATAATTTAAGCAAAAGAAATCTCTTTAAATGTTTGAAACCACCTCTGAATGCAAAACATAATTCACAAAAAGCTGTGTGGAGAAATATGATATGCCAATTATAGCAAAACATCCCAATAATCTACATGGCTTATCCAATGGGTCCCACTCATCCCATTTTCTATTGTCTATAGTTCACAAATTTAGAATGGAGAGGTTTTGATCTCCAGTCAGACCACAGCTGCTGTAAACTACATGTGAAAAATGGTTGAGGTCACTTGGAAAAGCACTCAGGAAATGTTCACTGCCTTCATTGCTCTCCTATACACACAGCTGTCTCATAGCTACCTTCACACAAGACAGGTCAAGAGACAGGTGTCTCTCTCACATCCTTTCCTTCTCAGGTTTTGCATCAACTTTAGCCTGAATCTTGGAAGGGTCACACAAATTTGGGAACTCCTTTTGAGCTTTAAAAAAAGGGAACACGCTCCCCTCCTCTCAAAACCTGACAGAATTTCACCAAGTTTCATCAGGGACCAGAATTTGTTTATTTTTAAGTACACAGTGATCTCTGGAATATCCAATTTCACATGAGAGATCTTTCAGCACATCTTGCACTGGTGATTTATTATTTTGGTGGACTTTGTGTATTGGATCAGGTGTTGGAATTCACTGACAGTAGGTTTTTAATACTTGGAGCAGGGATCAAGAATAGTTTTTGGTGTTACACAAAAGACCTGTCTTCCATCCTGCATCAACATGCAAGTGGCCCTCTTAATATACCCACAGCATTTAAAAGAATAATAAATAAGATTCTGTCTGTAGATTTAAGAGATCCTCACCAGATAGTCCCTGTTGCTTCTCAGAAAACTGCACTATGACCAGTAGTTATGTCCTGCAATTAAAATACTAAACAAAGTGTTTCCTAGACCTAAACAGCACAGATTTGAGCAGATTCTGATTTCAGTTACACTGCTGTAATTCCAGAGTATGTCAGTTAAGACAGTGAAGCCTATCAAAATCAATGGACTTAATACAGATTTACAGAGGAGCTCACATGCAGCCTATCTGAATGGAATTTACAATAATTAAATCTTATATCTTGATGCAGCTGAAAATCGAGTCAGGACCAGTTTAAAAAAAAAAAAAAGAATAAAAAATTCAAAAATATCACA